ATATTTAATTAATAAAAATTTTCGTAATTAAGATTACAAAAAAAATATACCATCAAGTTTATATATAAATTTAAAATGTTATACCCTATTCTTAAACTCTCATTACTCTAAGTATAGTATTAAGTAATGTTGCTTGAATTTCCACTATTCCTATTAGATAAAAAGATATATAACGAATAGCTTTTACCTTTCCCTGCCAATTCTAAGTTCCTATACTTCAACCTAAACTCTTCTATCTTTACTTTTAACTTGTAAAAGTGATATTTTCTTTCTAAGGTAATTTCTACAGGCAAGGTTGTTACTATGTGTTTATTCAATAAAAGTTAATCTATATACTATTACTATCTTGAACTGTTTAACTGCTACTGTGTAGTAAAGTGAACTACTACACCTCCACTCTGTATATATTTGCAATAGTTAATTACTGTACCAGATGACCTTGTTACTTGGTTGTATTATACCAAAAAGGCTACAACTCTATAACAATAGTAATAATTTATAATATAATCTATATGCTAATTGATTTTCTATTATTTAGAGTACTATATATAAATTATGTTCTGTATAAATAATTTATTAGTACTAGAAATTTAAGTTAAAAGCACTTTTTTATTTTAACTGTCAAAATTTTTAAAACTCTTATAATTTTTAATACCAATATAAACTTTATTACATTTTATTAAATTTATTAAAGAATTAAAAAAATAGGCAAATTTAATAATTCATTAAATAATCTTAACAAATTTTATTTTGCTAATAAATTATCTGCTAAATGCATAGTATGCCTGCCAAATTCAAATTCAGATAGTTTATCATCTACAGTTTCATTATTTTTTAATCAATTTTTATTATTTAATATTCTAATTCAGTTCTTAATTACATTTAATCAATTCTTTTCTTTATTAAAAGTTTTAGTCTTATTGACTATATTTTTTTTAGTCATTTTGATTATTTTAGTTACTTTAATTACTTCAGTCATTTTAGTTACTTCAGCTACTTTACTTGGTAAATTATTAGTAGTTAATAAACAAGTTTTATTGTTACTTACAGATGATTCTTTCAATTTTTGTGCAAAATCTTTATAATTATCCTAAGATCAAATAGAAACTGTAATGTGAATTTTTTTGTATTGTTGTTCAGATATTTTAATATTATTAATTTTTTATTTGCTTAGTATATCGCTATGCAATTGACTCATTGCTAGCACTTTTTCATATTTAAAATAAAAAATCTAAATTAATATTATAAAAAATTGAAATAAAATAAATATTTGTATATACTGGCAAATAATTTTAGCATTTTATATACAAAAAACCTATAGTTAACTATAACCTTTTAACTGAAGCTGAATTAATGCATATTCCAAATAGTTGTAAAGCTAAACAAGACAATTTTGATGCAACACTATTTGTTGAATCCTAGAAATAATAACATTTTCATTAAAATAATTGTAAGTCTTCTTATTAAAAGAGAATACTTTCTTCTAATATAATAAAAATTCATATGAAATATGTGTTAGTACTTTCTTAAACTATACATAGTAATAATAATATAACTACTAACTAAATGTATATAAAAAAGACTAAAAACACAGAAAAAAAATCTGAAAAGTTAATATTTTGGATGCAAAATAAATAATAGTAGAAGTAATAATTATTTCTATTAAGCCTACTGATTTTCTAATCAAGCAACTATATGATTTACAAAATCTTTATCTTTATAGTTTAAAAAAACTTTAATAAGCTATTCAAAACAATGTACAATTTTATATAGTTTTGCAACATTTTTCTAAAGTTTATTTAGCACATAGTACAAATAAAATAACAAATTCTGAAGTTCACAAAGTTGATTTTAAAAATTGGGATTTTGTATAATTAATATAATATTAGATAAAAGCATTTTGCTTGTATTAGAATTTTTTGTTATAAATCATTGCTGTAAAAGTTTACTTTGAGAAGTACTAACTAATACAATTTTAGTAAGTAAAAATTTTGTTGCAAGTGCCTAATTAAATAACAACATAGAGCTTTATTAAAATATTTTAATATTTTATAATTAGTACTAAAATTTTTTTTGTAAAAAATTTTAATTTATTCATAAAATGTATTACCTTAAGCATAGTCTTGATTTTTAATATAAAATAAAAGCAAAAATAAATACTATTCTAGAATATCTTAGCCAAAGAAAGAAAAGAGACAGTTTGTTTATAATATAACTTTTGCTTATCTTATAGTAATCTAGTATAATAGAAAAATAAATAGAAATAGCTTACAATGTGTATTGCATTTTTTAATGTTCTTTTATATATATCAGATTCTTTAAATTTATTACTAAAAACTAAATTTATTTAATAGGTTATACAAGATATAAAAACCTTATTAAAATATTTAATTCTTAGTTATCATTTATAAAAAGAAAAAAAAGTTTATAATAATTATTAAAAAATAATTCAAATGCCTATCTATAAATATAAACATATTAATATATATTTAAGTATATCTTGACACTGCATACTTCTTAGCAGAATCTAATATATAGTAGTTGATTTAAATTTCTTCTTTTTTTGCATTATCTATTATACTTTTAATAAGAATTTTTATATTTTCAGTTTTTAATTATTAATTACTGATATTATATGCACTTCAAATTAAAGATATACTATAAGAAGTAATTAAGACAACATCAAAAAGATGCTTCTGTTTTATGTTTGTCCAATCATCGAAGGCTACAGTTACATCAACTCTATTTGTATATGCATATTTTAAAATAACTTCAGTTAATTTTATTGAAATCTTTAAAAGAATTTAATTACTTATCATCTGCCAATTAGATAGTTTTGAAGTTGGCATTATAAAATTAAAAAATTTTTTTATTTCTTGTTTTTTTATAAAAATAAAAGAAAGACTATTTGATACAATTATATATAAGATCAATTTTCAAAATGCTATTTATCCTTTTTAGATAGTTAACATATAATACAATTATTAAGAAATATTTATTTTTTTTTTGAAGTAAGGAAGCTTATAGATAGAGTAAATTTGTTAGATAATAAAATAAATTTATTAGTAGATAATAAATTAGATATTGATGTTTTAAAAATAGTAATAAAAATTTAATCTTTGCAATCAAAAACATTTTTACCTATTATTAATAATAATAATTAATATATTGTACAAGCATTTGTAAAATAAACTATTTAATATAATTACCTTTACTTTTTTTTTTTAATGTCTTCAGATATCAAACATGCAAGAATTTTTAAAACTTCATCCATAGCATATTGTTCTTTAAAATTTGAGCAATTTTAAAAATGACTTCAAAATAATTTTGCCTTATTGGAAACAAAGCACTTAGGCTTCATAATCATTACAAATAAGATATATTTTTATATATATAGAAGGCAGATTGCCTTTTTATTTACTTTTGAAGTATTAGGTATAAACAAGTAAAAAAATTTCTGAAAATTATGATTTTTTTTATTTATTGTTAAAAAAAGTTAAGAATATTACACATACAAATTTTATAATACTCTATATATTTAGCAAAATATATAAAATGTTCAATATAATATTACAGCACAAATCTTATTTCTATTTCTAATGCATTTTCTTTTTATTTTTTATTTTTTTATATTTTTCTTTTCTTTTTATACTACTAACTACTTATATTATACTATATATTTACAAGTTTTGGATTCTATTGATAGTAAGGTTATTAGTACCTTTAATTCTAAATTATAAAATTAGTTATTTTTATTATAAAAATATAATTGTTGCAATCAGGTGCCTTATATATTTTATACAATACAATTATAAGCATTAAAACAATTACTTAATTATTTATATTATTCAATATACATGATTTTTTGTAATATAATACATATATAGTTTTCTATATAGTAATTAAAAAAGATTATAAAATTACAAAAATGTTGGCTAAGCTATTATTGACTTAAACTCATGGTATTTAAAATTAGAGTTTTTATAGTTACAACTTGACTAATTAGCTAAAGTTAAATTAACCTTTTTATATAATTTAAATAAAGCTAGTGGTTAGAATTAGGTTAACTTATAATTTACAAATTAAACTCAAAGAGACTCAAATAATAGGAGAAACTATCAATATTATATGACTAATTCTTTACTTAGTATATAATATATAAAAAAATTATTTTACAATACCAGATTATTTTGCAAGTACATATTATAATTATAATTTTATATTATTTTTATTATAATAAATAGTGTAAGATTATAATTATAATATGTACTAGCAAAATAATCTAGTATTGTAAAATAATATTGCACATCAAGTAAAAATCAGTTATATAATATTGATAGTTCCTCCTATTAATTTAAATCACTTAATTAAGTTAATTTGTTCATATTTTAGAGTTTTAAATTTTAAATTACTATTATAAAAGCCAGCATATTTCATATTTTAATTTAATATTTGTGTTCTATATTTTTAATTTGCAAGTTAAAAATTAATAATTAAATTATAAAAAGCATTACACAAATTTTTTGTAGCCAATAGAATATCAATTCTATATATAAAATGATCTAATAACTCTAATAACCATGATCATTTTTAAATAATTACAATTATTTGGTTATAAGTTATTTTTAAATAACTCAAGATTTGAATGACTAATAATAACTAGTTATTTTAAAGTTATCTAAAAAATAAACAAATAACTAGATCATTTATTTTTATATATATTTTTTTTTAAGGTAACCTCTTTGGTCTTTTGACTTTTATTAATCACTTATTGGTATTGTGGTTTAATAAACCACTACAAGAGAGAGTACAATTAGCTACATATGTAACTTTTCTATATTACTTATTTAAGGAGTTTGCCCAAAGGTTCTCTACCAATTGTCATACCTAACACTCCTGCTTGGATGTTCTACTTTAAATCCTCTGAATCTGTAACCTGTGTTAATTCACTAGGTCATATTCAGATGCCCAGATCATTGTTTTAACTTTAGAACTAATTTATTCTCAAGGTAAACCCTTCAGAGCCTTCTGTACTTATTTTTACAGCTGATCTAGATATCACTATAGTAGAACCAACACTTGTGATCAGAGTTGACTATTAAACTACTATGCCTTTGTAGAGTTCACTTAGATCCTAGCATCTACTTCATAGCATAACCTTGGTACTTTAGTATATCCCTGCTTTTTTTACCTGCCTTTTTACCAAACTTCCAATTCAGATAGCTCATATAGAACTATGACCAGTCTATCACTATATCAGATTGGCCTGATATTCTTTTTCTCTAGTTTATTCTAGTGGCTTGGTTGGTAGTACCCCTGAGACTTCCAACCTAAAGGTTCTTGCCTGTTCAGCTACTACAACTAGGTACTATGACCTTGGTATCCATTTCCCTAGGCTAGTCTTTATAGTAGAGCTGTCAAAGATCTAGCTATTTCTCTACTCAGGTCTTTTTAAATAGACTTCTTGTTATCTAATTTTAACAGATTTACATAGCCACAAGGACTTATCTAGTATTTGCACTGCCTGATTTGTCAGTTTGCATTCCTCTGTATAATGCTATACTTACACAGATGTCCCATAATCTGCCAGTCATGCTGGTGTGATCACTATTACAGATATTCTAATCTAATCATTAGTAACAGTTGTCATAATATAAATATTACATAGGTGATTATCTAAATTTTCACTATTGATAGGATTTGAACACCCAACCTACCACTTGGAGGTTGACAACCTGACCACTTCACTAGGTTTCCATACTCCTAACTAGATCATTTATTATTACAGCTATACTAACAGATAGTATATAAGTTTTTATATACTGAAATGCTATCTAACCTAATCGTAACTTTTTTGTTTGTATATCTGTCAAGACATTATATATTTTAGAGTATGTTACTTGACTGTAAGGCTTTAAAGAGCTTCTCTGCTAACTAACTATGCATATTTAATTTTTTTTAACAAGGTTTGCTCTTGCAAAGTTCTTCTAGACCTTAGTACTGACTTTACAATATATCTCTAGTACTTAAGTTATATTCTGCTTTAGTTTTCAAACTCTTAATTCAAATAGTTCAAAAGAACTAT